TTTTTTTTTTTTTTTTTTTTGGCAGATGAATGGGTCATTTTTAATCGTCTGGGTCTTTTCCACATTTGTATGGACACAGAAATAAACAAGGTAACAGAGAAATTGAATTGTCCTTGTGCTGTGACCACACACAGCAGAAAAGCTTCCCTTTTTTGAATGGCTGATCTTCCAGGACAGGTGTTCACTTGCACAGTCACTGGTTTGAAAGCTATTCTAAAGAAGGAAACACTAAGTACAAAGTGGAGAGTGCCTCTGATTGCCCTATGCTGGCTGGGCAGGAATTTCTCATGCTTTCAGCCAAAGCAAAGGATGAACTCCACAGCAGCCCATCCTGAGCCTAAACTTACCTATGCATGCCCTGATTCTCTGCCATATTTGCTGCATGGGTAAGGGCGTATCAACTCTACTTGGCATTTTCTAACTACACAGCTAAAGTATTACTAATTTAACACATGCACGATATTAGATACAGGAAACCCCAAGCTCTTGCAGAGTTCTTATTCCTCTACATAGGACTTCACTCAGCTCAGCACGGAGGACGTACACGATCTAGTACGAGTACAGGACAGATACTGCTTCCCTGAAGGCAGGGTCCCTTCTCAGGCTCCCAAACACAAAGATGGAGTATGGCTGCTGCTGTCACCCTCAGGAGGTTCAGCCCTCACCCTCTGCACACAACCAGCATGTTCTCCCTGTTGGCACAAGCATATAGGTACTGGACTGCAGATACACCTTCCTGTCGCTCCCTGCTGCAGTCAGCGCTCTCCCTTCAGACACACGGAAGGAGTTCCCTGTGCCCTGCTGTCACACAGTATAGTCTCGCCCTACCCCTGCTGTAGACCCCAATGCAATTCCCATGGAAAATAAGATATCGTTTCTCAGCTGACCATTGGAGCAGGCCCCTACAGAGCAGCAGCAGATTTCACATGGGTTCACCCTTTGGCTCTTCTTGTCTTTGGCAACAGACCACAAGGTCCAGTGTCCTATGTGCACAGGTTGATAGCAAAGGAAAGAGCCTCTCCAACAGCAGCCCTGGGTAAGAAGAATGACCATTTCTTACCTAGTATATGAACAAACTCGATGTGGGCTACTGTAAATTCCAGCAGTAGCCACGGTTTGGCTATTAGGCCTGCACCAATTCTAGCAGCATTCATCCCAAAACTTGTGGCACAGCATTAAAGGACAGCATTAAAAGTGCAATTCCAAATACAGGCTTCCTGGTGTGGTACCACTTCTGACCAGCCAAGTACATCTCTGCTATCTGCTGCCCAAATTCTTAAACACAGCGTGAACTCCAGAGGCTACTTAGGGCAATTCAATGTACTTCCAATGTACTTTCAACTGTACCAAAAGAGCAGAGGGCTTGATGCTGCCAAGAAAGATCCCAGACTGTAAATTAACAATTTATCAGAATAGTAATACACATTCTATAAATGAACCAGTTCCTTCCTCCTCTAAGCCAGGGGGAAGATGATTATCTTCACACTTGACACTACAGCATCTTCACCTCCTAGAGAATGGAAAACCTGACATACAATCCTGAACGTATGCAGTTACTGCTGCCATCCCAGTTAGATAACAACTTCACCTAAATCTAGCATGAGATCTCTGTTGCTGTCAGAAGAGGAGGTCCCACCCTGCCCTGCTCATTTTGCCTGCCCCTCTGGGGCCAGCACTGTGGTCACACAACGAGCTGTACAGGATTCAACCCACTTGCAAGCCAGTACTAATACGAGCCTCAGATGGCTATGGAACCAGCGCATTAGATTTTCTTTCTGCTAAGCATCACTGTCTGCATCAGTAAGTCTGCACAGTGGATAGACGATGCCTGTCAGCTTAGCCTTTGGATCCAGGACAGGAAGGTTGAGCTCAGTAGTACTATCCCTATACACTGTGCCTCACCTTCACTGCAGAGCAAGGAACAGGATTCTCCTTCCAGCTGGCATCACAAACCTCAGAAAGATACAGAAAAATAAGAACATACAGACAGGAAAAACTGTCAATGTTTGTGAACTAAAACAAGGTGCAAAGACTTGAATGGCAATTCCAGCATAGCTGCCAAACCTCTAAGAAGCACACATTTTGGTCCATGTTTAGTTACAGATTTGGATGCTGTTTAACTGGACATGGTTAATTATCCATCGGGCTTGCATTCATGACTTGAACTAGCCACTGTTTACAATAAAAGGCTTTTGCCTTACTATATGCAAACTCCCTTGATCCTCTTGGAGCTAATTCCATTTTTCAGGAGAGAGAAAGAGGTATGATTTCTTGATAAATTCTCTCTTCTGTATTTCTCTGTGTTCTTTTCAGGGCAGGAACTGGATAGCTTGGTATACCACAACAATTACAATGGAAAGTTCCTGTTGGCACAAATACTACCTCAGGAATTCTCAGAGAAATCCAATTTTAGGAAAAGCATCCAAACTTGTCAAGGGCTGCTTCCAAGAAGGAATGATGAAAGCTTGCCTGAGGTCTTAGCAGAAGCAGTCAACCTCAGGGACAGTTGCTAGAACTGGCAGAACAACATGGATAGAAACAATTCTCCATTAGGGTGTGGTTTTGCAGTATTACATTATTCCTTCATCAGTCACACTATTACACTTGGGGGAATGTTTCAGGAAAGGTCACACATATGCTCTCCAGAAATTAAGCACACATTAATAATTTTGAGTTGGGAGTCAAGTTTCCTAACTTTAGCCACCTAAAAATTTAGAAGCCAGGACTCTCTGCAAAGGAGGAGGTCAGGACTTTCCAATGGGCACCTCCTTCTATATCAATCTCAGGATGAACTGAGTCAGCCTTTGGAGAGCTCGCTCTGTATTGACTTCTGTGTCCTTGTACAGCTGATTAGGACAAGACACTTGACTTGCAGCCGGCTAAAATCAGATGAGATGAACCACACTATTGACACCCTTCTGTTCAAAAACATGAAGCTCTAAAACTGTGCACAGGACAGACAGAAGCATACAGCAGTCAGAGAGAGTCATTTGTAGAGAAGCCCTAGAGAAGACCTTAGTGCTCCTAAAATAGCAGAACTGTGAGTGCTTTCTAAAAAAATAAATTCTGACAGTTCTCTTTCTAACCTAAAATGGCAACACTACTGCAGTGGCCTGGAGAAAGAGAGTCATATTTTCTCCTCTAATTTACTGCTCATCTAAATGTTCTCTTCTTTCCCCTAGTCAAAATTAACAAAAAACCTCGAAAAGGGTTTTCCTCAAGTTTAATATAATTTAGTGCTATATGCTTGTGTTCTACTTTTTTTCCTATCTGACAACCTAGCACTGTAAACACATACGCACTGGAGCAGCTTTATGCAGAATATCAGTATCCCTGTTCACTGGGATAATTCATGTGCCTTTCATTACATTCTTTCAAGAATATGTTCTCAAAAGAATGTATTATTTCAAGACTGCAATCTAAAATATTAAAAAGAACAGGACAAACATACTAAAAGGGTATGTACCCTGCACTGATGACAGGGAATGATTACTACGGTACCAGGAGCTGGCCCCTTTAAGGAGGTGAAGAGGTGAGGGTCTTATTAATTTTTTCCCCTGGAAATGGACAGGAAATCTTGACATCCCTTTTGTTTTTCTCTCACACTCAGCACTTGGAGGTGAAAGCTTCTGGGCTGAGCTATATCAAATTAATTGTCAGTGTGCATCTCTCGAGTGTGAGTTCACAAAGGTTTAAAAGAACACTGCCTGTCTAAGCATTGTACAGTTTTGGGTTGTATTTCTCCTGTTTTCCACCTAACACCAAAATGCACAATGAATTCACTCAAAAGTCAATTCCAGACACAGGAAATGATGTGTAAACCTCCATAAGACTAGCCTGAGTTCAGCTGTATAATAAAACCCACTATCACTACTCCATCATGCCACTTGCCATCCATGAAGGTTTTGCACAACCCATTTTAATCAGCAAATCTCTGCAGTTGACACTGAAGCTTACTGGGAGCTCCCAGAAGACCCTCCCCCAATAGCGGGGCACACGCACTGTGGTTGAGGACTCCTTTGTTTTTAAAAGCCACATGTTCTCCTACTTAATTGTGCTTAAAAAAAACAAAAAAACAAAAAACCACAACAAAACAAACCAACAAAATAAACTAAAAGAAAATCCAACTAGTTAAACCAACACAGAGAAGCTCCTAACAAGCTGTATGAAAAGTGAGCTGCCGAGATTTTCCATATCAAGTGACACTTTCACAGCAAGTCCTATTATTCTGTGTGTTGGTTAGAGGTGTAGTACTACAACATGGTGGTGTCAGCTGTCATGGTAGGAACCATTCATGTCAGACACTACAGAAAATTTAACGACATGACAGTACCTTCACAGCCCTCTGGTAGGTAAGGAAAATCTAAAAGGATCTTCCCAACCTTTCACAGTAAACACAATTGGATAATCTAAAGCACCTGCAAGCAGGAGATGAGTCCATGATCTCTCTTTCCCATTAACCAGCTAATACTGTTATCAAAACAGTTATGTCAGCTCTTCAGTCTCCTATCTGTTTTGGGCATTTCTGAGGACCTTATCGCTCTGGCATTTAGCCACCAACAGATTTAGTTGATACCATATTTCCTTCTCCTGTATCCTCAGCTGTTTCTAAGATACCCAAACCCTTCACAGGGGCTGAATTGCCATTTTCTTCAAGAGCTGTCTGGTTCCTATTCTTTCCTAGGAGCTGAGAGGAGCTAGCAGTACAGAGACATCCTGCTCTTCCGCATGGCTTCGCTGATTAAATATGCCGGGCTCAGTTCCGGCTCCTCGGTCATGATTGAAATGTTCTGCCACTCCCCCAACTGGTTGGACTTTTTAATGGTGTCCACAACACACAGGGCATACAGACAGTCGTCAAAAGTGGCAGCCATCGTAAGGGGCCTCCCGTCCCAGGTCCTCCTGTCATCCTGGTCCTCAAATGCCTGCCTGACAGCTTGAACCATCTTAATGGTGCCTCGCAAGTAGGGGGATGGGATGTCACTGAAGGCTTTCTCTGGAAGTAAGGAGTTGCTGACTGGCGTGGAGTCCTTTAGAAGGAGCTCCTGCTGAGGAGAGCTGTTGCTCTGTCCATAGAGATCAGTGCCTATTACAATCAGCCGTCCTGCCGAACCCACCACAATAATGTCTTGTTTGAACTCCCCTGGGACGTTGAAGTTGAGCGTCACCGTGCAGCACACGCCGCCTTCCAACACCATCTGAAACGTACAGAAGTCATCACTGGTGATCTGCCGTATCCCCTTGATGTGGTCCGTCTGCTTTACAAAGGTCTTGAGCAACCCATGCACTTTCACAGCCTTCTGGCTGGTGAGGAAGGTCAAAAGGTCGATGATGTAGGTGCCAACTGAGTGCAAGCCCCCACCTCCCATCAGGTCATCACAGCTCCAGTTGTACTTCTTGCCTAGCAGGCTCCCGCTGTGAACCTGCACCTCACACACCAGCAGCTCCCCTACGTAACCCTCCTGAATCAGCTGCTTCATCTTCACGAACGCAGGCAGGAAGCGCAACACGTTCCCCATGATGCTCATGAGCTTTGGGTAATAATGAGCCGCGGTCATCATCCTAAAGGCATCCAGGGGAGTCGCCGTTCGGTCACAGATGACATTTTTTCCAATGCCTGAAAAACAGTTCAAAAAAAAAAGTAAATCAACAAAAATACATTGGTTGAGTAAGCTGGAAGCCTCGAGGCTATTCTTCAACACTAAGCCAAGGAGAAAGATCCTTGCAAGAAGTAAACATTTCAATATGCTGTTAAAGGCACAAAGAACCCCTGTGGTGTTGTTTCCAAAATGCACATAGAAGATTCTTCACCACAGTGAAAAAGTATCCCTTTTTAGTTTCAAAATGCACTCGTGTCTAAAAATAGCACAGAGCTGAGGGCCTGGACAGCTAAGAAATTAAGCTAAGGTAAGGTGGGCTGCTACCCCCCATCTGCCACCTTCTGGAAGCAGGTACAAAACCATCCACCCCCACTCAGCCATCTCACAGACATCTCTTCTGTGATTTTTTGGGGGGGGCAATCTGAGAACTGAATCTGACCTTCAGATTTAATTCCCTAAAGCGTGAGTAACACGACCCCATGTATACAGTAACTTAACATAGTAGACATTGAAAAGTCTGGGACTGTCTTCCCAGTGGATTAGTCCCATTCAGTGGATCTTCCCCATTCAGACTCTTTAAGTGGCTCTGACTGAAGAGAGGGAGAAGCAGTGGGCTTATTGCTTGATTTAAATGCAGAAATTGCTTCTCACTTGTAAAATGCCATGCTACTCTGACAGTGGCACTCGTTTCCAATTTTTGAAGCAGCTCTGCTGAAATGTCAACAGCACATCCATGGTGCCAAGGGAGAGCCACGACTGCTCTAAAACAGGTCAAACGTAGCTGTGACAATCTGTTCCCTCACAGAACTGCCCATATGGGCACACTGTTTACTGAAGCTCGCACAATGCTCCTGTTTTATCTGGCCATCAAGGTGTGCAACTCAATGCAGTGCAGACTGAGATGCCTGAATAACGATTTTGTTATTGAATAACGATTTTGTTATTGATTTCTCCTCATCAAATACCTGTACACACATATAGTGACAGAGTCTCCAGTTTCCTTTTTAGCTGCATACAAAGATGGTTTTATGCTTAACGAGCAAAATAAGATGAGCTATAAAACTCCTTATAGCATAAATACAATCTTTGCCTTGAGAGCCTCGGGCTATAGCTGGGCCTGGCACTTAGAAGAGCTGAATTTGAATCCTGTCTGCTGGAGTTCAGATGAATAAATCTAGTTACTTGTTAAATTGCTCTGTGTTTTCATTCCTTTTCCCTTCACATAGGTGACAAATCCCTTTTTCTTTAAAGAGCTGTTATGAGGATAAAATTTTACATGTTTTGGAGCTGTTTGGATGAAGTCACATAAATACAGACAGATGGCACGGATCTGTCTGAGCCCACTTACATGAATATTTAACAGCCTGACTGGAAGAAGGGGGTCACAGTCCAAACATTCAGTAACCAGCTTATCCACACTGCCTATTCCCAGTCTTTGTCTGCTGCTATTTGAGTCTCTAAAACTGGAGGGAGGGCTGTCACCACTGCAGTGGCAGTCACACCTAGTTAACAGCCAAGAAGGGAAAGATCTTCCTTCAACTTGCTCCTATTTACCCTCTACTTAATGAGATAAGTAGAGGCATACTCATTTTCCTCTTGTATTAGGCAGGAATCCTCTATTCAGTGGCGATGGTCTTCCCTTCTCAGTTTTCTCTCTCATCTTTACAGACTGCTACTGGTGACTGAGTTGACATTTTAAACCTTATAGCACTTCTTTTCCTGCTCCTGAATAATTTTTTCCTGCTCCTGTTTGATATTGGAGAAAGCATTCATCCACCTGCCCTATATTCCTCTAACTGGTAGCTCCAGCTATGCCACTTGATACAGATCACTAATATAATAGTCCTGGAGTTATACAGACTCTTTGCAGAGAGATTTTAGCCTGGCAAATCAGTTACCAAAATAAAAGCAATCTTAGTCAGACAAAACTTGCCTACAGCCAAACGTTCCTGAAACAGTCACTCCCCCATAAAGAACCCACACGTATTAACACCATCATCTGACCTGTTCACCACGGATCCACCAAGCATCACTTTCTGCTCCAGTTCAGCTTGCATCATTCTGCCTCACAGACGCGTGCCACATTTTATCTGGGGTCTCTGCAGGCACTAATCTCTCAAGATACGCAGCTCTACACATGTGCTTGCGAGGAAAAGGATCTGCTTTCATGAGAAATTGCAGCCTGGGGACAATCTTTTTGCTCTGTGCTCAGTGCTGTGCATGGGGGGTGGTGTGGTGTCAGTCCTTCACTGTGTGGGGCAGGAAACACTTGGCACTGTCACAATGTGAGTACCAAATAATGTTTATAAATATAAAAGAGAAGCCTATGGGTTTTACATCCCTTACATTCAAGAAAAATTGCCATTAGGATCAGTGCAAGTCAAGCACACATGCAGAGAAGAGGAAAGAGCTCTAAATATTTGTATGGAGGCAGGGAAAAGGTGAAGTCATATACTTACTCACTCCACCATTTCAAACTTGTGGAAAAAATTGAAAGCTTTTAGTTATAGCTAATCCAAAATGCAAATGTTCTGAGAGCCTTCCCGTCTCTGCGTATGCTGATAATACATGCTGTGCTCTCATCCCTGTCACGGATTTAAACAGATTTTTGCTTGGTGCCCAGAAAGCTTTTATAGTCTATTAGAGCTCGTGCAGGTTCTTTCAGCATGACATTGCTTAGCACTTGAGTCTGTGCACACTAGAGATCTTTGTCTTCTCTGTAGCTGCAAATCTGCAAGCAGCCACATTAGCCTTCTTGCAGCAGGGAAAGAACATGAAAGGTTTGCTTAATTTAATTTAGAGAAATACTCTGGTGTGTTTACGCAACTAGAATAAGAAACAGGCATATCAAAACACCACCATTTTCTGCTTTCTTTCCTCTGCTCCCTTCTCAAAGGAGAAGGAAAAAAGGTACCTTCCCTTTGAGCCATCTTCTATAAGCAGCAACAGGCAGAGCAGAGGGCAGTGTGCAGGGAAAACCTCCCTTCCCAACACTGGCAGTCATTCAGAGGCACGCTCTGACTGCAGGTGCTGCAGGGGGATTCTCTAGGAACTGACCCCCTTCTCCTTGCCTGGGGTTAGGGTTTAAACCTGTCTGCTTTTGGACAAGACTCTCTAAGAAAGGATAAAAGCTTGTCATTCTATCAGTGTGTTTTGCCATTTCACACATCTTTGCAAATCACATCACAGCAGACAGCAGAAACTTCACTAATTATGTAAAAGCAGGGAAGCACAGTCAGCTTCTTTCAGCAAGAAAGTGAAATGTATTTGTCTGTGGTGATACATAACAGAGTCGAATACATCTCAACTTATGAAAGAATACACACCCCTTCCACATGCGTTAAGAAATCTGGTCCACAATGCTACAGCTCCCAATCAGACAACTTCTGAGCATTGATCTCTAGAGTTCTTAGGTACAATTAAGAAGAAAAATACCTTAAGTATAAGTCATTCTATTTAAGGCCTCTGCACAACCTTCACACTAGTCTCTTTGCCTGGCTGTGCTTCCAAGAGACAAAGCAGCGCCAATCAGGTAGTAAGTAATGTGATGTGGGATTTCTCTGACTGGCACAGAATAGGGGAGGGCTCACTGAGAGCCAGCCTGAGTCCAAAGCTGAAACTGGGCAATGCACATCCCAGCAAAGCTCCTGAAGTTGCCTCTCTGAAGTCCACCCACAGCTGCCATGCAGGACTTCAGTATGGGATCTGCTCCGTGACCCACTGCTCCAGTCACAGACAGCTAGAAATGCAAAGAACCGACATTAACAGGCACTGTGCCATGGGGCCAGTGAGCTGCCCTTGCCCACACACATGGTGCCATGAGGTGGAAGCCATTTTAAACCAGTCAGGTCTGGTGTCCTGAACCCATTTATCTTCTTCCAGGAAAGGACAAAAACCAGGAAAAAACAAATAATGGTAGAGCTGGAAGATGTCCATCCATAAGACAGACCAGATCCCTAGACCAATGACTTATGTGTAACTTGCTTTAGCAGCCCTTAAAAATGTGAAAGGACATGAGTCTGAGCAAAATGACACAAGAGAATTTGACTTCTAGGTTTGGGTGCTAAAGACTGAAAGATGGAGACATCTGATGACTGCTTGGTTCCTCTTTATAATGAATCAAGGTTTCCAGAGCAGGCCCACATCACAAAACCCCTAGTAACACTTGCAAGGAAGGTTAAGGGCTGAATACTCCATCTAGACTATTCTTTATCTCCCAGGGTGCGTATATCGCCCAAGCCAAAATTTAACACCTCAGATACCAATCAGTCTTTATTTTAAGAAGGTTATTTAAGAACCCTCCTCCGACGAAGTACGTCTCATCAACTCTCTAGAAGCAGCTGAGCAAACTGTCCATGCTGTTGGTGAAGGTTTCTCTAGCACCTTATGCTGGGAAGTCAAATTGTAACCAGGCCCTAATGGCTTGTCACACACCTCGCAGTAATTATTTTTGTCAGGAAGTCATGTGATTTATTTGCAAACCTCAGCCTTCATTTCAGAAAAAGGAAGCCCGTGTGATGTGGAGATAATTTTGAAAGCCGGACAGCGCAGAAGTGAGCGGTGAGTAGACACAGTCCTGGGTGGTAGAATGTGCAATTTTATCATGTAAATGCAGGGGAAGAGTAATAAGCTAGAGTAAGAATTTATCTCCCGAGTTTGAAATGCCTGGCATTTGCAGCTCTTCATTTTACAGGAGGTTCTAGCTCCTTAGCTACCAGCAGCCCAAGCTTCTTTGCTCTTGTAACATCTCTGTGGTGCACAGCCTAAAACCGACCAGAACTCCTGGGCCCACAGTGCAGCGAGGGCAACACAGCTATAATCAGCACAGGCTTCAGCTCCAAAACCTGCAATGTCAGCCTTTTTTTTTCCATCTGCTCTGAGTGTTTCAAATAAGGACAGAAACATTTAAATATAAAAACCTCCAATGAATTAAAAAAAAAAGGCTGTCACTGAACTGAGGTAAGACCAGTCCTCTATCTGTTCAGCTCAGGACATGAGGCCCAATATTTTCTCCTCCT